TATATATATATATATATATATTATATGTCTATGGTCAGTCTGATTTTGGTTAATTCTAAAGAATAACAAAAAGTTTCAAAAGTTGTTTCATATTTTTGGATAAGCACAGCAGAAGACAAGTTTTCATTAGTGATTAGTCGTGTTTTATTTTGGTGAAAAGACAGGATGGCTCAGTTACTACATTGGTGTAAAGGAGAGGGAATTAATCCATTACATGCTGTTTTGGTTAAAGATATCCCTGAAGACACAGAAGTTAGTGTGATAGAAGACACTTTACAGACTATCAAAGCTCTCGGACGTGTTAGAGTTAGAGGAAGAATGTATGATCCTGTGTCTCAAAGTCTGACAGTTCTTTGTGAGTGCAGGGAAACAGTCAATGCTAAAGCCATTCCTGCTGAGGTAATACCAGAAGGTAGTGATTCTACTTGGGGAATCATTGGGCCATCAGGGGTGGAGGAAGAGAGTACAGCTCAAAAGGAGACAGATTCTCCACAAACACCAGAGTTAGAAATGAGCCAAAATTCACTTTTCCAAGCATCCAGTCCAGAGGCTATAATCAGAGCAGTCGGTGATGTCTTGCAGCTCACTTCCAGATCCCCTAGTGATCATGGCAGCTACAGACGACTTCGAACCTTTTCTGGCGTGTTTCCCACACCTCAAGGGGAAGAGCCCTTGGAAAACTGGCTGGAGCAAGCTAGACTGATGATTGRGGAGTCTGACAAGCCAGACAGGGAAAAAAAGATGAGGATAATGGAGAGTGTGAAAGGTCCAGCCATGGAGATCCTCCAAGCTGTGAGATTTAACAACCCTGATGCAACGCCCACAGACTATCTAAATGTTATTGAAAACACCTTTGGCACAATGGAGACTGGCGAAGAGCTCTACTTTGCTTTCAGAATGATGTGCCAAAAACCAGCTGAGAAGCTATCAGAGTTTCTCAGGAGAATGGAAAGAGTTTTAAATAAAGTGGTCCAAAGAGGGGGGCTGCCTCCCTCATCCAAAGACAAGGCACGTATTGAGCAACTCATCAAAGGGGCCACCCAATCTGACATGATGATGCTAAGTCTAAGGCTACGAGAGAGGAGAAATTCTCCACCAAAATTTCTGGAGCTTCTGAATGAAATCCGCATTGAGGAGGAACATGAGGCGTCACGCCGTCGATTAAATCCCCCTAAGTCTGTCCACGTCAAAAGCACTGCCGTAGCAGCTATGGACTCAAAAGATCTAGCTGTGGAGGTTGAACAGCTGAGGTCACAGGTTTGTGAACTYAAAGCTTTGTCCCTGTCRCAGCATTCACATCCTCCTGATCCMCAACCWGCAGTTAAAGCAGAAAYAAGCAGCTCGGAAGGAGATGGGAGCCTCCAAGCCCTCAAGAAAGAGGTTGTAAAGCTGAGAAAACAAGTTTCAGTCATGTCAGTCCAGTCGACTGCAAGACCAAAAGACCATCCAACTTCCTCTGATCCTTCTCCAAGTCATGAGACGCCAAAAGCAGCTATGCACAGAGAACCCTGTGACATCTTCTGTTATCGTTGTGGCGAAGATGGGCACATTTCTACTAAATGTATGGCACCGGAAAACTATCCAAAAGTCATTCAAAAGTTGATTCAGGCCCAAAGGAGGGGCAAAGCAGGTCAAAGATTTTCCAGCCCTCGTTCTGAGTGGAAAAATGCTAATGTGAAGAAGAGCGCTGTGAGTCTGCAGGTCGGTAGCCTGCCCAAGGGACTAGTAGGACCACCCGCTACTGCTCACGTTAAAGTAAATGGAACACCCTGCACTGCTCTCTTGGACAGTGGCTCTCAGGTCACGATCATTTTTGACAGTTGGTATATCGAACATTTATCACATGTTCCCCTACATCCAGTGTCAGGTTTAGCCATCTGGGGTTTAAGTGAGTCTGAGAGCAGTTACCCATATAAAGGCTACATTCAAGTAGACTTGGAGTTTTCTGAGAAGAAATCACACAAAGGGAAATTGGTACCCATTCTTGCTTTAGTA